AATTCAGTAATAAATCACTTGCCTAGCATGTACAAGGCATTGGGTTTAATCCCCAGTGCTGCAAAAAAGGAACAAAATAAAAAAATAGAAAAGGATGAAGTGAACAGTGGGGTGAAGAAGCATATAGAGCAAGGTGGTGTAAAGGTCCTGAGCTCGGGGGCTTCTGTCTCTGTGGAGAGGGAACATGTTGCCTTCTGGGCACCTGGATGTGCTCATAAATCCAGAATCTATGAATCCCGTTTTGTAGGGTTTTTTAAATTGAAGCTTTATTAAATAGGCATAATTGCTTAAATAATTGGCTATTAGTAATTAAGGGCTCCATTTTTAGCCCTCTGCTTCTTGTACACGGGAGTGGGGTTGTAAGTTCCAACTTCATAGTCCCATGCTTGATTTCTCTGCAGAAACTTTCAATACTGGGCTTTCAGTCACTAGTCATCTCAGTAACACACACAAAAAAAGATACTCATCTCTCCAGAGATTCTAAGGATCATAAAAATTCTTGTGTTGGAAACGAGGAAGAAGACCCTATATATACTTAATATATGCCAGCAGTCTCACAACTATACCTGTGTGGGTGTATTTCAGACCTCTTTAGTGTTCAGTTGACATATTTGTCTATTCTTTGGCTGTAGTCATGGTTACTGTAGCATTTTAGTAAGTTTGAAGTTGTGTAGCATAGGTTCTGGATTTGGTCCCCAGAAACACCACCCTCTAATGGCTTTTTTGAGATGGGCTCACTGTGTAACCCAAATTGGCCTTGGACAGGTGATCTTCCTGCCTCAGCCTTCCAAGTACTGGGATTATAGGCATTCATCACTGTTCCTGGGTGGAACTGATATCTTGGTGATAAGTGAACTTTTCTACCCACAAACATGGAATAGTTCTTTAATTCTTTCTTGGTTTCCTTCATCAGAGTTCCATTGTTTTCCTTCTAGATTTTGTGCATATTATATTTGCACCTAAGTATTTCTTTGTTTTTGAATGTTAATATAAGTGGTATTGTGCTTTTAATTTCAAATTCCATCAGTTCATTGTTGTATATAGGAAAGTGGTTGACTTTACATATTAGTCTTGTAGTTTGCAGTCTTGCTATAATCAGTTTCTCATTTTTTTTTTCCTCTATAATCACCTTCTAGTTCTAGGAGTTGTTTTGTTTCCTTAAGTTACTTCTTTTGGATTTTTCACATAGACTGTTGTGGCATCTGCAAACAGTTTTATTCTTTCACAGTTTTTAAATTTCTTTTTCTTGTTTATTAGCCAAAATTTACAGTATCTTGATAAAAAGGAATGCTGAGAAGAACATCCTAGTATTCTTCCTGATCTTAGTGGGATAGCTTAAATTGTCATCATTAGTCATTTAGTGTGATTTTAGCCATACTGTTTTGGGGTTTTTTGTTGTGAGAGAGAGGTCTTGATATATAGCTTAGGCTGACCTCAAACTCTATATCCTCCCGCCTCCTCCTCTCAAGTGCTGGAATTGTAGACATGAACCACCACTCCTGGATTGGGGATGTTCTTTATTGAGCTGAAAATGTTTCCTTCTCTTCCTGTTTTTATTATGAATGAATGTTGGATTTTGGCAAGCGCTTTTCCTGTATTTACCAATATTATATTGTGATTTTTCTTCTTTAGCTATTGATTTGATAGAGTACATTAATTGCTTTTGAATATTGAGTCAGGCTTGCACACCTGGGATAAACCCCACTTGGTCATATATAATCATTGTATATTTTGATGTGCTAGTGTTTCATTGAGGATTTTGACTTACATCTTCATTAGAGAAACTGCTTTGTAGTTTTATTAAAATGTCTTTTATAATTTTGGTTTATGAAAATGTTAGCTTCATAGAATGAGTTAGGAAATGGTCTTTCCTTGGCTGTTTTTTCGAAGATTTTGAGAAGATTGGTGATAATTTTGTTAAAAATTGTTTGTTGTAATTCATCAGTGAAACCATTTGGTCTCTGACTTTTCTTTGTGGAGAGTTTTTGATAACTAATTGAATCTCCAGATTTTCTATGATATTTTCAATTCTGTAAGGTCAGTAGTAGTTTATTTTACTTTCTGGTTTTAGTTATTTGCAACTTTTTTTTTTTTTTTTTTGCATAGCTACTCTTTAAAGATTTGTCAATTTGATATTTACAGTAAAAATCCCAACTTTTGGTTTCATTGATTGCATTTTTTGGTCTCTGTTTATTTCTGCTCTAGTTATTTGTTATGTCCTTCTATTTACTGCTTTTTGGTTTAATTTTCTCTTTTTCTCATTGCCTGAAGTACATAGTTAGGTCACTGATTTGAGATAAAAAAAATCATAGCTATTTATAGCTCTATTTTCTTATGATAACTGCTTTTCCTATAAGTTTTTGATTATTGTGTGTTTCTGTTATTTCTTCTTTGATTCATGAGTTATTAAAGTGTATGTTTTATTCCATATATTTATGAATTTCCCAGTTTTCCTTTAGTTGTTGTTTTCTGACTTTATTCCATCATGATGAGAGAAGACAACTTATGATTTCAGTGCTTTAAAATTTATTGATAGTCATTTTGTGGCCTAACATATCTTCTATCCTGGATAGTGTTCTATGTACACTTGAGAAGAATGTGCATTCTGTTGTTGGTTGGCATGTGAAATATGTGTTAGGTCTAGTTGGTTTATACCGTTACTCAAGTCCTTTTTGTTGTTGTTGTTGTTGCTCTTCTGTACAGATGTCCTATATTTTATCAAAGGTGATGCACAAAAAACTGTCCAATTATTATAGTCTTTCCTTATCTACAGTTTCACTTTCTGTGGTTTCCAGTTACTCATGGTCAACAATGGTGTGAAAATATTAAATGGAAAATTCCAGAAATAAATAACTCATAAGTTTTAAACTGCATGTCATTGAGAACAGCATAATGAAATCCCTCATCATTGTGCTTGGGATATAAATCATCCCTGTGTACAGTGTGAATATCCGCCTGCTCTAGTCACTTTTAATAGTTGTATTGTCTTGATATCAATCATATCAATCATCCTTGTGTACAGTGTGAATATCTGCCTGCTCTAGTCACTTTTAATAGTTTTATTGTCTTGATATCAGAGCGGCTGTCATGGTATCTCATTGCTTGTTTTCATGTAATCTTATTTTACTTTATTAATAGTTCCAAGTAAAAGAATAGACCCAGGCAATTTGGATATGTCAAGAGATAGTCCAAAAAAATGCTTCCTTTAAGTGAAAAGTACAAGTTTTTGACTTAATAAGGAAAGAAAAACACATAAAGAATGCAACATAAGAGATAAAGTGTTACTATCTGTAGTTTTCAGACATCAGTTGGAGGGAGTTGTCTTAGAATTTATCCCCTGTAGATGAAGGGGGGCGGTCTCCTGTATTATTGTAGTACTGTCTGGTTCTATTTTCAGTTCTTTGAATGCATGTTTCAGATTTTTGGGCCACTGCTATTTAATATGTACATCTTTATAAATCTCATATTTTCCGAATGAATTGACCTTCTCCTGATACATAGTGTCCTTTATGTCTTATAAAAACTTTTGTTTTAAATTTTGTCTGATGGTAATATAGTCATTTCAGCTCTCTTTTGTTTACTATCTGCATTGAATATCTTTTCTTATCTTCATTCTTTTAACCTACTAGAATCTAACATGGGTCTCTTATAGATAGAATATAGTTATAAAAATATATTTAAATATATTTATATTTAAAAAGTAATTGTTTTACTCTCAAAGGATAAGTTAAATGCATTTACAAGAAAAGTGATTGCTAACTCGACTACTTGATATATCCCTTACTTGTTTTCTGTGTTTTATATGTTCTAGTTTTTTAATTGCTCTAGTACTACCTTTGTTTTATTTTTTCTTCTAATGTATCATTTTCCTTTTATATAAAAATTTTTAGTTATTTTCTTAGTACTTATTATCTTAGTACTTAGTATCATTAAGGTTAATGATCACAATTAAAATCTATCTTAAATTTTAACCAGTCTAGATAAAATTGGTAGCAGCTTAGCTCTCTTTGTCCCTATAAAATTACTCTCTCATGTATTTGTCTTGAAAGTCATATAAGAAACGTAAATAGGAGCAACAAACAAAAAATACAGTAATTCTTACTTTAATATTTACCTGCTTATTTACTTTTACATATATATATACATATATATATAAAAATTATCTTAGTTTTATTTTTATGGTTTTCTCTCTCTCTCTCTTTCTTTTCTTTTCTTTTTTTGACAGAGTCTTGCTTTGTAGCCCAGGCTTTCATAAAATCCTCTCTGTAGCTCAGGCTGGCCTCAAACACTTGATCCTCTTGCCTAAGCTTCCCAAGTATTGGAGTTAGTGGCATGAGCCACCACACCTGGCTCTTTATTCTTCTTATGACTTCAATTTACTACTGTGGTTCCATTTTGTATGAAGCATTCTTGTTAGCCTTTTCTATAGCATTCATAATTAGAAACTCCTTCAACTCTTCTAAGAATATCTAAATTTATCCATTGAGGGATAATTTTAGTACATGTGCATTCTATAATTGATACAGATTTCTTGTTTGACAATTTTTCTTTCAGACTTCATAGTTTATGATCAGAAATGGGCTGTTACCCTTATTCAGGATTCCTTATATGAAGAATTTGTTCTTTTTGTATTTTTCAAGAGTCTGTTTCCTTGTCAGTTTGATTATAGCATGTCTCTAAGTGATTCTCTTGAGTTTTTCTTATTTTGAGGTCATTGACATTTCTGAATGGTTAGATTTCTGTCTTTAATTAGGATATTTCTGTTATTGTGTCTTCAAATACTCTTTTTTTGTTTTTCCCTCTGGAAATCCTGTTGTCATAAGCAATGTCTGGACTTTATTAGAGATGATTTCTTTCTCTTTTCCTGTGAGTGGGCTATACTTCTTTTTCCCTCCCCTCCCCTTTATTTTTGAAATGTTAATAGTTGGAGTAATCTCCGTTTAAGGTTTCTCCGTGTTATTTCATGGCTTGATAACTCATTTCTTTTTAAAACCAAATAGTATCTGAATGTACCAACGCTTGTTTATCCCTTCATGTACTACTGAAGGAAATCTGGGTTGCTTCTAAGATTAGGCAATTATGAATAAAGATACAGTAAGCATCCTTGTGCAGGTTTTTGTGTGGACATAAGTTTTTAAATTACTTGGGTAAATATCAAATAGTGTGATCCTTGGTAGTGCAAATTGATTGTAGTCCATGTATTCTGGCATGTTCATTTATTTTAAAATAATTTTCTTTTTTTTTTTAATTAACAGGATTGCCTTTGAGATTATTTTAAAAGTTTTGAATTATACAGAAATTGGTACATTGTGGAACAGCCTGTCCAGAAATGATCACTTCAGAGTTACCGGTGTTACAGTAAGTATTGTCATTTTCTTTCTTCTTTTAAAGAAAAATTGGGTATAATATATATATTTTTATGGGGTGCATAATTAATTACCATATCCATTCATGGCCCTTGCTATTGGAACGTCAGTATGTTCTCTAATATTGAACAAAATACACATTAATGTCCTATATCAGGGGCTAGGAGATTATGACTGATGAACCAACTCTAGCATGCTGTCTACTTTTGTCAATAAAGTTTTGTCGGGGGCTGGCGGAGTGGCTCAAGCAGTAAAGCACCCACTTGTCAAGGGTGAGGCCCTGAGTTCAAACCCCATTACTGCCAAAAAAAAAAAAGTGTTATTGGATCAGAGCTATACTCGTATATTTACAATACTGGTATGGCCACTTTGTGCTGTACAAATTGTGATAGTGACTGTATTGTTTGAGAAGTCTCAAATACCAGTCTGGCAATTTACAAGAATAAGCTTGTTGACTTCCTGTTGTACTCTTTTTTTCCCCCCTATACTCTCCCTGCTCTTCTTCATCTCCTTCATTAAGATTCTCCCCTGAGAGATTAGATTGTTGACAACAGCCATTCTGATTTCTAGAAGAACCTTAATAGAATAATAGTTGGTAGTTTTGGTGGCATTTTACTACATTTGTTGGATTTGTAGTACAGACTTGGAATTGGAATTTATTTTGGAATGACTGGGAAATGTGGTTATGGTAATAGTAGATAACATTCCTTATGTCCTTTACATCAAGATGCAAATTAGGGTTCTGCATCCTTTGATCCTATATGGTAATGATGGTTTAGCTATAATAACAGTGATCAGCAGTTTAAGCAATTGTTTCTTTTATTACTGCCTCAGTTAATTTCCTTACCTCTTTTCCAACAGATAGCCTTCTGATTGATCTTCTGGCTTTCTTTTTAAGTTCTAAGACACAGAATTTTCCACAATTCTTTACCTATTTGGAATACCATTAATACATTCCCTTCTTAAGACTTTCTCTCAAATATAGGAGATAGAATTTAAGTCTTTTCTACCTACTTACTTAATTCTCTATACTCCTTAACTTGAATGTGATACTGAGTTTGGAGGTCCCCATGTAATATTTTCTTGTTTTTCCTCTTAGTGCTATGTACTCCTGCCTTACCTATCCAACTCATTATCTATTTGTGTCTTAGTTAAGGTATCCTGCTTCTGGCAAAGCTCCTCTGAATCCTCAAAACTAGGGTAGGGTATCCTTCTATGTTCCTACATTTCTGTATGTTTTGTACTAGCACCATACTTAGTATAATGCTCCCTCTTACTGTTTCTGACCTACTTCCCAAACTTAGTACTTTGATGTCTTACTTTTGTATGGTCTGCTTATAGCTCATTACTAGGTATTAGGCAAGTCTTCATATTAATAACTGATAAAATATCAAAGAGGCTGTATTTAAATTGTGTTTTTATTTAAAGAGGTATCAATAGTGTTTAATGTCATATTATATTTTATAAATGAATTTTTTTCACAAAATTATAAATCTGCAGTGTATCTATGGATATTAGATCAGATTATGGGGGTGAAAACACATGACCAAGGAGGCTCACCTCATAATGGCCAGGGACCAAAGAGAGAGTGGAAGGGGCTAGAGTACCAATATCCCCTTTAGTGGCATGTCTCTGCTGACCTAACTTCCTCCCTATTAGCCCCACCTATTAAAGGTTCCATCCCTTTCAGTATCACCATAGGTGACCAATACTTTAACACATAGGCTTTTCGGGAACACTTACCAGAACAATAGCATTCTGCTTCAAGCCCCCAAAGACTCATGTCCATGTCATAATGCAAAATGCCTTTAGTCTTTCTCCAGTGTCTCTAAAGGCTTCCCTGGTCTGGCATTGCTCAAAAGTCCCCAAATCCAGAGTCTGCTCTGAGATTCAAGGTAAACTCAGCCATGAGCCCTTGTAAAGGTCAAATATAAACTTAATTCCAAGATATAGTGGCACAGGATAAACATTTCCATTTTCCAAGAGAGGAATAGGAAAATGTTAAGGAGGAATTAGACCGAAGTGAGACCAAAACCCAGTAGGAAAACAAATCATACAGCTCTGTGTCTGGAATCTCCAGCATAAGATGTCGTAATATGAGTTCCAAAGAGCATGGGTAGTACTACCCTCAAGCTGCTGGTTGTAACCTGCAGGGCCAATCTCTTAGACTGGCTTAGCTTCCTTTAGTAGCATTCCACGTTCCTGGTGTCTAACTTCCTGGGGGAGTCTGTTGCAGCTTCAGTTTCACTCTCAAAGCTTCAATCATTGTCTTTGTCAGTGGCTGATTGCAGGGACTTTGAACCTGCCACACACTACCTGGCCTGTCAGACTTCTTTAAAATCTTTATGGAACCTCCATGACCCCATACCCAGCATCTCCCACATGCCCACAGAAGCATCATGTGAATGATGCCACCAGTGCATCATTCACATGCTCAATCCATTGCTGTTCCCCCCTCTCAGCATCTTGATGACTAAACATAAGGGAAAAATAACAGGGAAACAATTCCTTACCTGACCATGTGCAAGCAGGGTGCCCTGGAGTTGTCTTCTGAAATGAAAGTTATTCACCCCCTGCCCTGAGGAAGGGATTCTCTTCCCAAGTAAAAGTCTTTGGAAAGAGTTTACACTTTGATACCATTGAGCCTGTGATGTGTGGGGTCTTAATTCCTGAGAAGCCCTAGAAACATCTTTCCCATTGTTTTTTTATTGCCCCCGGTGCAAAGCCCTTGCCTTGTTTTTAATGGACAGCAACTTCAACCACATCCCACTTAGCATCGTTTTGCCTGTACTGCTTTTCTTGCTAAGCTGTGAAATTTTCAAATCTTTTCACTCTGTATGTTTGCTCATGTGACTATTACTGTAAATTTGACTAAAGCTAGCCAGCAATACCTGTACTGCTTCCTAAGGGCTTTGTTCCTCCAGATAACCTGGTTTGTTATTACCGTTAAGCTCAGCCTTTCTAGATAGTCTCAGCACATGGACAAAAAAGGGAGACAAATTCTTTGTTATGGTGTAACAATATTGTCCTCTAGTCCAGTTCCCAAGAGAATCCTTACTTTGACCTGTAAGCCCATGAGTCTAACCTTTTCTGTCTGCATTTCTGTCAGCATTATGGTCATCTGGGTCCTCACAGTGAAACTGCTTGGCAAGCTGTTCAGTGTTCTAGCTTTTTCAATCCCATCTCCCCAAACATGTCCTTCCTGCAAACCAGTTCCGAGGGCTTCTGAACCATATCATCAGGTGTAGTCACACCAGTAACCCAACTTCTCAAGTCTCTGTTAGTCAGCTTTCCATTGTTGTAACAGTTGGCTGAGATATATGAACTTAAAAAAGGGTAAAGGTTTATTTTGGTTCTCCGTTTTTTAGGTTTCAGTCTAGTTTATTGGGCCAGTTGTTTTCGAGCCTGTGGCTAGGTAGTGTACTCTGGTGCCAGCAAGTGAAGGAGGAAGCTGCTTACTTCATGGTAGCTGGGAAGCTAAGAGATAGAAGGGGACCTATGTCCCAGTATCCCTTTTACAGGCACAATCCCAGTGGCCTAAATTCCTCCCTTAGGCTCCACTTCTTAAAAAAGTTCCAGCACCTCCAAGTAGCACAGGCTGGCAAAACAGCCTTACATAAGCTTTTGGAGGACACTCACTCAAAACACAGCACCTATCTTAACTGTGGAGGAAAAGAAACTTCAGCTTCCACCTTTTTAAAAGTGATTAGAAGTTGACTTCAAAGGTTTTCCCCAAAACAAAAAAATGTCCTGAACTAGTTTTTAATTGTCATTCCACTTACGATTTTTAAATTTAGACATTAGAAAGGCTACTTTACTGATTTAACTATATTAGTTTCTTGGCTTACTTAGATATTTTAAGTACTGATGTATTTGTCACCTTAATAGTGTTCACTGTTAAACATTGTCAAAATATCAGTTAACACATACTTGTATCTTGTAAGCATGCTATATTCTAGATTGATAGAGCATGTAGAACAGACTGATTCCTTGTTGCCATAAAGCTTATAAAGACAGACATTAGCCAAATAATCACAATTATATAGTTCTAAACTTTGTGCTATGAAGGAAAAGTTGGGGGCGTTATGAGAATTTTCATGCATTTTTATTTAATCTACTTTTCTAAGAAATAGTGTTGAAGTGAGGACTGAAGTCCCAGATGAGTTTGGGAAAAGAAGAGAGCTAAGTATTAGTTCCAGACTGAGAAAATGGCATGTGCAAAGACACTGAGATAGGAGGAACCCTGTGTATTTGAGGCACTGAAATAAAGACCCCTCCCCCAACACACATTTTTTTTTTCGTCATGGGAATGGACAGTGAGATGAGATGTATCTCGAGCAAGGAGAAAGCTATATCATACTGGGACCTGCTAACTTATGTTAAGAATTATATTTTCTCTGGGTATAGTAGTTCATGCTTGTAGTCCCAGCACTTGGGGGAACTGAGGCAGGAGAATTGTGAGTTTGAGGCCATCCTGGACTGGCCCTGTCTCAGGGTGGGGGTTGGGGAAAACCTAGGAGCAGTGGGAAGGGACTGAGGTTTTGAGCAAGGGAGAGATACATTATGATATATAAAATTAAAAAACAACTGAGTATAGTATAGTGATTTGATTGAAAAGGGTCAGCCCTAGAAAGAAGACCTATTAGGAGGAGGATTTTGCAGTATCTAGGCCAGAGATGATAACTTGAACTAAAGTGGTTTTAATAGAGATGAAGAGAGGTACATAGAATTCTGAGACTATTAGGGAGCAAAATCATTTTTGTAAGATTTGATCTGAGTTTATGTTCTCTGAATTTATGTCCAGTGTGTTATAAATGTGAATGTACAGTTTTTAAAGAGCAACTGGTCAGTGTTTGAATTTAGTACTACTGACCTAGCATTTCTATTGTGTCTATCCTAGAGAGATACTCATGATGTGATTTATGTGCAAATAGTCATTTCATATTTTTTTGTAACAGAGCAGAACTGGAGCCATCTTCAGTATTCATGGATAGGGAAGTAGTTAAATAAATTCTGTATGTGTTACGGTGTACCATTCAGGAATCCATTTATTAGTATGGAAATTTTCCATCCCCATAAAACTTTAAAAATTAAATGTATGTGTTTTGTTTATGTGTGAAAGGTGCACACACATATGCAAAAGCCTAAATATTTATGGCAAGACAAAGCTTTTAACAGTGGTATTCTGAAGATTCATATTCAGAGTTAAGGTGAGGTGAAGTATAGCTTTTACTTGTATTGTTGTATCTTTTCCATTGCTTGAAATAAAAAATTTATACATTCTAATGAATAAACATACATGTACCAGTGGGTGTGTACTATTTGTTGATAAACGATTGCAGTTTGCAGAATTATTAAAAATATCATACTTTTCTAGTTTCTTTCATCACTAAACTATATTGTTAAAGCATAAATTAATTTCACTAATGAGTCACTTTTTATATGTTGGAACCAGCTCGTTCCTGTAGTTGCCTAGAGACTTCTGTAAGTATCACAAGGATCAGTGAGTTTTGCCCACATTTAAGATAAATACAAAACAAATTTGGATTCAGGTGTCCTGACATGGAAAGAGAGAATTCAGGTTCAGATGTAACTGAAGTTGAGATGTAACTGGGCTCTCCTGCTAACTAGGTCTGTGACTGTGGACAAGTTTATCAGGTCATTTCTTCTAAAATTGGGACAATAATGTTTCTTAGACTTTTTGTGCAAACGTTTTCTAGTTAATACATAAAAACTGACAAACAGTATATGCTAAACATAGTCTGCTTAGTCTTTAATAGAGATAAGAGTGACTAGATCAAGAGTGGACACATTGATGTTAGTGACTCACATGCCTGTTTTTGTAAATAATGTTATTGGAACCTCACCATGTCCATTCATTTACATATTGTCTATGTCTGCATTTATGCTGTTGCACCAGACTTGAGTGGTAGTTATAGAGACCTTAAGACCTACATGCCTAAGATACTTACAGTATGGTCCTTTAAGAAAAAGTTTGCTGACATCTGGATATTTAAAATATTTGTTTACGGCTTTAAACACTAAATTATCTTTGAAGATTTGCAAACAGGAGTACAACTTGATGTGTGAGTGTTTTTAGCGGTAGTTTGTAGAATACTTGGACATGGGCAATATATTGGGATTATTTTGGGAAAGAGTGACCATGGTAGTAATCATTGAAAAATGAGATATTATACTCATGAGGACTTGTGTTAACAGGAGGCACAAGAGGAAGAATGATACAATCTGTGACTTTGGGTAATAGACTGGACAATTGTGATGATAATAAAATTTTTTAATTATTTAAACACACCAATGCAATAACTTTAAGAAATCAGTTAATTAATGATATTTCTATGAATAGGAAGCCATAAAGAAGTAAGTCAGAATTGTCCTCAGTTTTAAATGAGTTACTTGGTAAATTTGAGGTGACTTTGAAGGAAGCATGTCAAACATGGAAGTTAGTAATTTTTTTTCTTTAATAGAGGGAATGCAACAGGTTTATAATTTTATATGTTAGACATTTATGTAAAAGATATTTCATTTTCAAAGAAGTTTTCCCTATTTCCAGCTTCCTAAGAGCAGTAGATAGCAGTTACTACTATTAAGGATGAACTGTTCCATTGTGTTTGATAGTAATTATAGCTTCATGCTTCACATCATTATCAACTGTACTGTTTACTGTTTCACAGCAAAATTTACTCCACTGAAATTTAGAAGATCCCGTAGAAGAGCTAGAGCGAGCAGCAGTCCAATTCATGTGAACAAATGCTAGAGATCAAGGATTTTAAGTACTGAGTGTCTACTGACACTCATATTCATTAAAATGGCAATAACAGAAATGAAAGCTACTTTATGAAAAAGGAACTCAGGAATGAGATGTATTTTAAGTATAAATACTATGAATTTCTTGATTAGTATCAAGTAGTTATCTAAGCTGCTTACCCAGAATTCTGATCTCAGAGAAAAAGATCAGATGATCACAAAGAGCATGTTTTATTTTTGTCAAGGTTCATTTTAAAAACAATTCAGATCTTGGTGGGAAAGCATATTAGACTTTATCAGATTTCTGTTGGTCCTTCTGTTAGTAATCCTTTGTGTCTCCTTGAGCTCCTAAATGCAACCAGGAAGCCCAAAAGGAGATTAATAATCTTTAATTAGGCATCTGGAAGGTGGTCAGGTTTGCTGATAAATCATTGAAGTCACTTTTATAGAAGTTACACATTAAGTAGAAGAGATCTCCAAAAGAGTTCAGTGCAAGGGGAGACGAATACACACTGAGAATTGAGCTTTAAAGAATCAATACAAAGAGGGAATGAGACTAAGAAGAGCATTAGTGAAGCAGATTGAGAAATTTAATTGTGAGTTAGACTATATAACATTCTGGTATTTGAAGTTAGGCAGATCATTAAAAAGGCAGATCAGTAATGTAGAATTTAGTGAAAAGATTGTTTTTAGGATCTGTACTTTTATCAGTGCTATGTTGGTGCCAGCCTGTATTGGTCTGTCAGAGCCCAGAATTTTCAGGAATTTTGTAAGCCAGTTAAGTTCAACATAGCCATTAGAAAAAGTTAAATTGTATAAACTTAAGTAATAATATTAAAAATAAGAGTAATAAATACTCAAAATGATCACTTTTATAGCTATGTTATATGTCACTATTTTTGTTGTTGTTTTGCAGTACTGGAGATTGAACCTAGGGCCTAAAGGTTGCTAGGCAAGCACTCTACCATTTGAGCTACACCCCCTTCCTCCTTTTATTATATATTTATTTGTTTGTTTGTTTCCTAGATAAGTTTTCCTGGGCTAGTTAAACTCGTGATCGTTTCTCAAGTATTTGGAATTATAGGCATGTGCCAATGTGCCCAGCCCCTGTTACTATTGCCACGCATTTTACATGTATGGTGGATGTTTTAATGTTGTGCTGCTGTCCATCATTTTACAACTCTGGGTTCATTGACAACACTTTGGTATTATGAAATTGGCTGTAGTGGAAGTATTATAGCATGAAAATCAACAAATGCCACAAATCATGACTTGATGTATGTTTTTTGCTGATTGTAGACTTAACAAAGTGTGAGACTGTTAATAATGATACTAAACTTAAAGGTGTAGCAGATAATCTGTAGCCATAAGTAGCACAAAAAAATCAAGTAAATATTCTTGCAGTACTGAGAACTATTACCTGATTTTGCAAAGAAGTTGTTCACAGTATTGACTACCAAGTGAAATTGCAACAGATGTCTTTTCCATTTTACTTAAATACTGTTCATTCATATGAAGAAAAAACTACTGCTTATTCATCAGTTGCAACCATAGATTAAATACCCATATTTGGCCAAAATTATCAAAATCATTTTGTGAGAATCAGATGGCTATCTGGAATTTACAGTAATGGATGTATTTTATTATTCATAAATTGTACATTTTCATCCTTTGTATTAATAACATTTATAATAACTTGTGTAGATTAATTTTTGAACAGCCACTTTTTAAACATTTAATGTCATACTGCTTAAATGGTTTTTTAAAATTTCTCCTACACCTTCATCTTTTTATACTGAAGAATTAGAATCTTTTGCATTTATATTTTACATTATCATTTGTATAGCAGCTGCCATTTCCACAGTAATTTCCTCCTCTTTTCCCTACTTTATTTGAGGAATTCATTTTTGTTAATGTTATGTGACATTATGGAAGACAACATTTTTGGTTTACTGAAAAGTTTCTGAAAGCAGAAGTGGTAATCATTTCTCATCAGTGATACAGCAGGAAGTAAGGAAAATACTGGGATAGAACTGCATTGTATTTACTAATTTGTGTACTAAAATAATATAACATTTTCTAGGGATTCAACTAATGAAACTACTGCCCATTCCGATGCTGGCAGCGAACTCGAAGAAACAGAGGTCAAAGGAAAAAGAAAAAGGGGTCGCCCCGGCCGGCCTCCAGTATGTATTGTACTTGTCTTCTATGTTCCTTCACTGTGTACCCATAAATCAGCTTCATATGAGCTGATTGTTAATTCTAGTACTAATAATTTAATACTTTTTACTTTTGTTTCACTGACACACTAGAGATTCTTGAAAACTTTGTACATTGGCTAAACAGGGATTTTTTTTTTTCCCCCGCTTTTGGCTGCCCATACTTGGTGATCCATGTAAAGACCCAGAGGAAGTTATAAACATTGAATGAAGTGTTGTTAGTTAAGACCTCATGCTATTCACCTGCAACTCTGATTGCTTGGGAGCTCTTAAGTGTGTATTTTGTAGTATTAGTTTGGAGCTGGGGGCCAAGGTCAGGATATATTTTTATTGATACGTGATTGACAAGATTAGCAGAGGGAAAGCTCAAGATACCAAGGATTATCTTATAATATATTCTAAGAATTACAGTTGTCATTTAAGCATGCAGAAATTTTCAGAGAGAGTAGTAACAGTGTGTCAAGGAGATAAGGCCTGTAGTATTCTATACTCATTTATCATCTGATTTGCAATTAGCAGATTTTTTTCCTATTCATAAAAGTTCTTATTTCTTAGAAGAAATCTTAGCCTCTTCTGAGTAATACATTGCTCAAGGATCAGTGGGTCATAATAGAAATAAGAGAGGAAATCAAAAGATTCCTGGAGGCTAAATGAAAGTGAGAACACAACCTACTAGAACCTGTGGAACACAACAAAGGCAGTCCTAAGAGGAAAGTTTATGGCCATGAGTGCATATGTTAAAAGGACAGAAAGATCTCAAATAAACAACCTAATGCTACATCTCTAACTCCTAGAAAAATAAGAGCAAGCAAAACCCAAAACAAGCAGGAGAGACGTAATGAAAATAAGTACCAAAACTAATGAAATAGAGACCAAATAAATAAATAAATAAACCCAAAAACATACAAAGAATCAACAGAACAAAAAGCTGGTTCTTTGAAAAAATAAACAACATTGACGAGCCCCTGGCAAATCTGACTAAAATGAGGAGGGAAAAGACCCAAATTAGTAAAATCAGAAATGAAAAGGGAAGGGTAACAACAAACACCAAGGAAATCCAGGGAATCATTAGAGACTACTTTGAGAACCTATATTCCAGTAAATTTGAAAATCTTGAAGAAATGGACAAATTTCTAGATACTTATGACCATCCAAAACCGAACCAAGAAGATTAAAAAAAAAAAAATCTTAGCCTTCTTTTCTAGGAGACATACAGAATAATGAGCCTTCCCATATACTCATCATCTAGCTTCAACAGTTACTTCATCTTCTCACCTCTCCTTCTCATGTTACTTTTAAGGATAATCCTAATTATTATTCCATTTGTAAATACTACAGTGTGTACGGTAGTATTGGAATGAACAAATCTGTCCACAACAACAGACTTTTGATTTCAAAAGGTATGAAAATTTCCCCCCACCAACAAACAGGCAATCAGTTTTATAGCAGCATGCATCTGCAGGGTGTCCTGTAATTCAGTTCTGACATTACAGTGTCAGATCCCACAGGTTGTAGGCTCAGTCCCCAATACTGACCCTTCCCCTTAGATGCCAGTTGCAAATTAGTTTGTTTTATTTGTACTTCTGAACCACTCTGTAAATTGGGATTCCCCCAGTCCCCTCCTTGAGTTTTTTTTTTTTTTTTTTTGCTCGAATGGCTCACAGAATTCAAGGAAAAACTTACTTTTACCCATTTATTATGAAGGATATTACAGAAAATACAGATGGAGATGTGTAGGGCAAATTATGAGGGAAGGAGCAGGGAGCATCAGTGCCCACTTAGTCTTGCGATTCTCCAGAAACTTCTCCTTGTTCGGTTTTCCAGAATCTTTCTGAACTCTGAACTTTTGGGTTTTCTGGAAACTTCATTGCATACCTAATGCTAAACAGACTGAGTGGGAAGACCCTGTAAGACCTTTCTGATTCAGCATTCTTCTTGGCCATGTTGTGCATTATTTTTCCCTCCAGATGTGGGGCAGGACGCCTGTGTAATGAGGAAAGGATCCTATAATCTATTGGGCAAGGATAGGTCAGAATTTTTGGGGGAGAGGCGTGGATATAGCTCCAAGATAGGAGGGTAGCAGAAGATTAGAGTTTTTCTGGCCTGTCTTGTGGACAGAATATGGACCAGAAACAAATGAAGACATTACTATCATACCTGAAGGTAATATTATATTATCAACATCAGTTCGGGTGGGTATCAACTTATTTATTTCTAGCTTCTGGTAATGTTAATACTTTGTCCCCTTACCATGAGTCACAAGTATTCTTAATGGAGTGTATAGTGGTAAATCCTTTCTAGAAGATTTTCAATTTGCTTTGCCTAGATCCATCAAAGGGATTACTGTCTGTGGCAGCTCTAGTATTTCTTAAATAATAAGTCTTGGAAGTCGAAATTACTCCTTGATCCATGGGCTGCTGAATGGATGTTGCATTAGCATCATGAAACAACATTAATCTCATTGTACATCTTCCTCAGATCTCTTGGATGACCAGGTACATTATAAATCAGCAGTACTAATTTGAAAGGCGTTTTTTTTTTTCTTTCCCTGAATGGTAGTTTGAATATTAGGGTTAAAATATTTAGTAAATCATGTTATAAACAGATATGTTGTCTTCCAAGTTTTATTAAATTTATAGACCACAAGCAGAGTCAATTTACTATAATTCTTAAGGGTTCTAGAATTTTCAGAATGGTAACTGAGCATTGGCTTTGACTTAAAATTTATCATTTGCTGCAGGCCCTATCAAGACAGTCTGCTTATCCTTTAAAATTTTTAAAGCAGGCAGTGACTAGTCCTCTCTAGCTATGAACGTCCCAGATGGCATCTTCCACCAATATAAGGTGGTTTCATCTGCATTCAAAATCTGTTCTTTAGTATTGGCTATCTTCACCAGTTATTTTAGCTAGATCTTTTGAATAACTTGTTGCAGCTTCTCCGTCAGCATTGCTTCACCTTGTATTTTTGTGATATGGAATTGGCTTCTTTCCTTTAAATCTCATGAACTAACCTTTACTCTCTTCAAACTTTTTATTATAGTTTCTTTACTTATCTTGGCATTCACGGAATTTGAAGATAGTTAGGGCCTTGCATTGGATTAGGCCCAGTTAAGAAGATGTTTTCTTTCCTTGCCCAGACTACTAAAACCTTTTCCAAATCAGCAATAAGGTTGTTTGGCTTTCTTATTATTCATGTTCACTGTAGTAGCACTTCTAATTTTCTTCAAGACGTTTTCCTTTGCATTCACAACTTGACTTACTGTTTGGTGCAAGAGGCCTAGATTTTGCTCTTTATCAACTTTTGACAGGTCTTCTCCCAAGCTTAATCATTTATAACTTTAGATTTTAAGTGAGACATCTCAGACTGTTCCTTTCCCTTGAATACTTACAAGGTATCGCAGGGTTATTAGTATTAAATTTCACTATTACTTTGTCTCAGGAAATAGGGAGACTTTAGGAGATGAAGACATGAAGGGGAACATCCAATCAGAACACGTACAACACATCTTACATGGTTGCAATTTGTGGCACCCCAAAATGACAATAGTAGTAACAGCAACGATCACTGATCACACATCACCATAAACAATATCATAAAGATGAAAAAGTTAGAAATATTTTATTACCAAAATACGATTCATACAGTGTAACCCCACCCAGCACAACAATAAAAATAAAGAAAGAAATATGATTCAGAGACATGAGATAAGCACATGCTGTTAGAAAAAATGGCACCAGTAGACTTTCTTCACCCATAGTTGTCTTAAACCTTCTCAGTATCCTAAATGCAGTAAAATAAGGTATGCCTGTTCTGGTCTCTAAATAAACACTGTGGTTATCAAGATTATGACCTCATGATTATACTGATACATCATCATACCTGTCTATTTACACTACCTCCTTGGTGATCACATTTAATCTCATGACTTAGCTGATGTCACCTGGATTTATGGCTTTGGAAAAGAAATGTAGATTGTACTCCAAATTCATAGTCAGGTGCCTTTTGAGCTCTTCAATTAGAAATGTAGTAGACCAAAGATGTTTAAAAAACAAAACTCCTGAGCTTTCTATCTTCTGCTCACCTGTTTTCCATAACAGCAGAAATTTAGTAGTTACTTGCCCAGGCCATAAACCTTGTATCAATCTGTTAGCAAATCCTTTTTAATCTATTTGAAAATTTTTTATGTAAAACTATGAAACTAGTCACAAACTTACTGTGCTTATTCTTTATCTCAAGACAGTGTTCAGAATGTTAACTTTTATTCATTTATTTTGACCCCCCAACATCAACATAGTCCCCTCTCACCTTTCTCTAAATTTTTGCTAAAATGTCATTCATTAAGATCACCCCTAACGATGGTATCTACCATTACAAAACCCTACCCTTCCCCAGTGCAACTTCACAATTTCCCTTATTGGTGTATGTCCATGCCCATGTTTTTTTTTTTTCCTCTCTTTGAATATGACTCATTGTCATCTAACATAGTACAATTGTCCCTAAGTATCTGCTGGGGATTAATTCCAGTGTACCCCACAGATACCAAACTCCTGGATCTTCAAATCTTTTGTATAAAATGGCATAATATTTGCATAGAAGCTACACATGTCTTCCTGTATGTTTTAAATCATCTGTGGATTAATTTATTATACTTAATACAGTCTAAATGTTATGTAAATAGTTGTAGCACTGTATTGTTTAGGGAATAATGACAGCAAAAATCTGAACACCTTCAGCATAGGTACACATCAGAAACAATATACATTTTTGGGTCTTAGGTAAACCCACATATGTGGGACTCATGGAAAAGGAAGACCTGCTGTACACATTGTACTTGCCTGCTTATTGTCTGTTACTCTGCAGCTAGAATGCAAGCCATACAAAGGCAGGGGTTTTAAAATGTGACTCGTTTACTGCTGTTTGCAAGGGTTTCACCTTGTTTAGTAAATGCTCAATAAATGTTTGAGTG